ACCACAGGGGGACACAGTGAAAACAGATCTAAAAAGGAGAGAGAGGACACATTCTCTCTTGTTTTAAATTTAAAGGATCTTATCAAATTAGTGACACCAGTTTCTGTAAATTATAAACAAAGCCTGCCTTACACAAGCCTTTTCAGTAGATTTCAGTTCTTTTTTTAAACATTTTTCCAATGTGTGTAATCTGCTGTTCCACTAGAAAAGATCTTGTGTTAAGAGCAAAAACAAAAGTATTTATCTGTTGCCAGTCTGCCCTGTTATGGAAAATGACTGTGAGAACATTGGGATCATATAAAAGATCTCCTACTGAAGCGAGGCTGGCACGGGATTGACATCTGCACACACACCACACAACATTATGGCCAAACTTAGCAGCAAGCTATTTAAAATCCATCCAGATATTAATGCAAATAGTAGGTAAAATCAAAATATTGCAATCAAAAGTGTCAATTCAATAAACAATCAAAAATCTATAAAATTAAGATAAGTTTCCTGGCAATACTTTTTGCAAGAAATATACCATATTTTCCAGACTTTAAAGCCCTATCTCCTTTGTGGAGTCTCACTCTATTTGGTTCATGTCTGTTCAGTTCTGCTCAGGTCAGTGTGTTCCTCACTCTGTGGGCGTGACTGTGGGTGGAGCGTCAGTACGCGGATTCAGCTGTTGTGACAAAGGAAAAAGAAAAAAAAAGCCATTACGGTTTTAAGGTCCAGTAGTCTGACTATTTATTTTTATTATTATTTGTCGCAGCACTGTTTATAAGTGCATGAGTAACCGTGGGCAGCCAGTTTGTCCTGAACCTCCTGAGAATTTGGTTCATTTCAGACGGCTCCGTCCGGCTCAAGCATTATGCCCTTATCTTCTTCACCTCTCTCCAGGAAGAGTTTGCTGGAGGAGTTTGCAAGTTCTGCCTCGACTCAGTCAATCCACCAACAGAAGTCTGCTGACATTAAAATCACAATCCTCTGTCACCCACTTAGAACCACCTTAGAGGTGGTTCTGAAAGAGCAGTTGGAAGCAGAAATGGAGACACGTTTGGCCAAGGCAGAGTAGCTTTTGTGACTCTAGTGTTTAAGTCGCATCAGTCAAAACATGCATCATGAAGAGGAAAAGAACGTATATAAGTCGCATTTGACTATAAGTCACATTTATTTAGAAATGTGACTGCAAAGTCATTTATATTTTTCTCCTCGGCAACTACCAAGGCATGGAGACGTAACTGCACTGTTGACATTCTCTTCCGGCTACACGTTCTTCAAGCACCCACATGTGGACTCATTCCTCCAGCTCAGGCCGTCTCGTTTTCTGCCTGCGATTAGCTTGCTTCGTTTTCTTCTTTGCACTTCTCTGCTTTTCGCCTGTCTCTGGCTACGTTCTCACTGCAGGTCTTAATGCTCAATTCAGATTTTTTTGAAAAAATCCGATCTTTTGATGTGAACGTTCACATTACATTTTAAATCGACTTGAGTAACTTTAGGATCTATACGCTCCGAGACCCAGGCTGGACGTTACGATCTACATGGAAAATTAAACGTAAAAAGATGAAGCAACTAGCCTTCTGTGTTGGAGCTGTAAACACATGAATCTAAAGATTTAAACAATGTGACTTCAGGTTAGTGTCTTATCGATCCTTCACCCCCACCTACTGATGAAAAAGTCGGATGGAATGTGACATGAGCGTTCACACTGCAGTCCCTTTGAAAACATCAGATATGTATCCGATTTAAAACCACATACTGAAACGGCCTGGGTCGGATTTGAAAAAAATCTGATTTGTCGCATTCAGACTGTCATAAAAAAATCGGATATGGGTCGCATTTGCCTGCAGTGTGAACGTAGCCTCTCACAAGTTTCTCACTCACTACAAAATTTCTTTCTGCAGCTCAATTACAGTTTTGGGCTGCAAATTTTATTACCTGCGGTTTGTAATCTGCAGACAAGGATTTTCTTTAGCGGCATTTAGTTTGAGTTTAGTCCTTCTCTATTGTCTTTAAGGTTTTTTTTTCTCTTATTTTTCCTGTTGTCTTTAAGTTAATTTTTTTTTTTTTTTTGCGGTATCGAATCATATAGCTGACACAAGCCTAGAGCGCCCTCACATGGCTGTAAACAGTAAAGTTTCAGTATGAATAAATGTTTAACATAAACAATGCATCATGAAGAGAGAAAAATAAATGTATAAGATGCACTCGATCGGTCCAGTCAAACTATGAAAAAAGTGAAATACGGTGTCCGACAGCATATATTTAGGTATTTAAAATCAACTAAAATACTCTAGTATAATACCTAGCATGTTGTGTAAAATTATTTAGTTTTTCAAATATCTAATTAAAAAATGTTTTCAGAACATTTTGCCCCATTTTGCCCCCTTGTAACTTAAAAAATGGCTTCTATTCAGTAGAAGCCATGTTTTAAGTTACACGGGGGCAAAATTTATAAATAACCAAGAGCTCAACCTACAGCCTGTGAGGCCATCATTATTATTTGTTCATTTGTGCTCATTTACTGTTCTTTGGAAGAGAGTAAGTCCCAAGAATTTTTTCCTTGCCATTAACACCCTTTAACTTGAAAAAAAGTTGATAATGTTGAAGAAACTTGTTTCTTGTTTTACATCCCACCTTGAAAGCCTAAATTATTCCTATCTTAGCCCTCCCAGAATGTCTGAATAAGTGCATGATCAATAAAATCCAACAAAAATGGTTATTATTTAAACATGGGTCATAAAAGGCAACAAGTCTGAACGTTAACCACTAAAAACCCAAAGAAAACCAAAAAACGAGATACTGGAGTGAAGCCCAGGCTTTAAGGGATTTTTATGTGATGGTCAAACTAAAATGTGAGCTCTCCTGGTATTTGCGTTGCCCAGTGTTCTCATCTTTTTTGTGGTGTTAAAATTATCTGAACCTGTTTTTAATGAATGACTCGTTACAAGGTAATATTTAAGAGATGAATCAAACCTAACTATATTTTGCTTCACAGGAGCTGAGGAAATGACTATTTTAGTCTTGAACATGGTTTATTTTAACAGTTGGTGAAGTTTATTTTGCTTTGTGTGAACTATCGGCCAAGACACCTTGAAGTTTATTTAAGGTTATGACGTGTTTACTACTATAACAGGGGTGCCCAAACATTTTCCTCACAAGGGCCAAAATGAAAATGTATTCAGGGCTGCGGGCCAAATGCAGTAATATAATACATGAAATACAAATACTTTTTAAGTRAAGTCCTTTATTTTTAACAATTAAGCTAGCAGCCAGTGTGGTGGCCCACTTTTGTTTTAGTTTGTGTACTTGGAGAAAGTCTGCCATTTGCTCAAGTGGCAAAAGCTCATGGGACATTTAATAAATTGATAAAATATGACTTTTTGTGGCCTTATAAAGTGTGAAAATCTTTGTGTGGTTAAATCTGATCTAAATATCTCTTGTTGTTGTATTTCATGCTTCATGTTTAATCTTAATAAATCAAAGATAAAGTCAACACCCTGAGTGAAACCTATCTGCACTACAGCCCCTTCTATAGTCACTGGGCCAATGGATGAAAAAACTAAGTGGAAATACTGTTTCTACATAGAACGACAGGTTACAGCCTAGTAACTTCTCAACTACTGGTGGGCCAAATCAAATGGCTTGGYGGGCCAAATTTGGCCCGCGGGCCCCACTTTGGGCTCCTCTGTACTATAAGGAAACCTCTAAGCATAAATCAAAAATGCTGCACACAATGCAGTTACAAATGTAATTTAAATGTATTTCTAAAGAAACGTGTGACATTATATTATGTAAAACCAAGTGTGTACAGAGAGATGCCTGAATATAATAGGCCTATCATTATTTTCACATAAGCTGACTAATATTTGTGTTTCACATATAAAAAAAACCTCACAAAAATATTAACAATACTGGCAAAGCCGATTTTTTTCTGTCATTACTATACGTGGATAACAAAAACACTCAAAAGGGTAACACTTACACTTACAGAAGGGGTTAAAAATGCAATTTAAAAAACAATCAAGGCATGCTATCACTCAACTTTATGATGTGCCACACTTACGACATGTAATGCTGGAGTTTAATTTCTGACTAAGAATAAATGCCTAAGCAGGCAAAGGTCCCCAAATAGCAAGTGTAATGATGCAAATGGGTGAGATTTATTGGTTCAAAGTGAAGCATGGTGAGGGTGGCACCCCATAATATTACAATGCATCTACTGCATTATAATAATGGTCTAAGTAACCGTTAACCACTTCTGGTATTAGCAGTAATAAAAAATGTGTCATGACTAAAGGAAAAAGCTACAAGTCTCATGTTGGTTGATCTTTGTGTTATCTTTTTCAGAATGTTGCTGGAAAAAGACGGTTAAAAGACACATGGTTCCAATTCCTTACTATACAGATAACTGAATATCTGTTCAACCCAACAATGAATTGTCCATAGGTCCTTGCTTTGTGTGAAGCCAATAATGTATAGACCACAGAGGCATCCGACAGTATGATTGATGGAATATCATCAGTTCAGTCCAGCCCATTGGAATTAGCCCATCGTAACCCTTTTAACTAGTCCTCTGAGCATACACCACATGGGTTATAGGAGAGACACATTTCTATAAAACAGCATGAAATATAACCATAAAAACGAGTGTGTGGTATTGTGTTTCTGAACATGTGAAAGTAGTGTCTACCTTTAGATCCTTCAATCCACCAACCAACTATGCAATTATCATTTGATGTATCTAAATTATAAAATCTGTTTTTTTAATGGCAAAATGTTTGAAATGTAAACCAAAAGCACTTGCAGTAGAGGAGTCTATGACAAACTGAGTAATAAAACATATGAATAAATAACACACAACACTGTCTTATGGGGGAAAAAACAGCATCTGTGAGGGTGTGGCAGTTTATTCATCTATTCAGAGGAGAGGAGAGGAGAGGAGAGGAGAGGATTATTTCGGATGAAACTATATTTTAGGGGCTGTGTTTTCTGTTTGTATGTCAGTGTCTTACCCAGTGTTAATGGAGATGATTTCAATAAGAGGGTTCTTCCTGATCTTGGGAAGGTCCAGTCGAGCTCCTCCAAGTCTCTTGCCTCCATCCTTCTTTTGTCCCAGTAGACGAACCGAGTGACCTGGAAATAACAAACCATGAAACTAAAACACACTGTCAGTACCTCACTGGACTGTAACTGGTGGAGAGTAGTTGACAACTCAATTTTTACTCAGTATTGAAGTCTCACTGAATTTTGAGTATTTGCAACCAAATGACCACCAAGTTTAAAAGTAATGTTTGGAGCAGAAAGTTTTTGAAATTCCCTGTCTAGTTTTGTGTGTATGGAAAGAAAATCAATATTAGGTTGTGTACAATATTTCATTGTCCACCTCAGTCCACTTTGTACCCACTTTTGGCAGCCAACCCACATTTATGATTTGATCGACTGGAGTACACATTTTAAATGAAGCATTCGATTGATTTAATAATTTGTATCAATCAATGGCGTGGTTTTTAGACCTGGACGTGATTTCATCAGAGGAGTGCTCTCATACAGGTGTAAAAATACAGTTTTTGTGCTGTTGATGACAAAATTTAGGTTTTCAGGATGAGTTTAAGACAGCTGCAATAAGACTGCAACTACTTTGAGAGATATTTGTTCCACATTTTTTTAATATGGTAGCCAACCCACATTTATGATTTGAAGAATTTCTAAACCACCGACATTTTGGTTAATGTTTATAATTTATATCAAAAGAAAATCCACAGTTGAGTGTAATAGCTAAAATTATCCACAGTTTGGTAAGTAGAAATGAAAGGCTAAAGTCTCTCCCCTTTAGCCATCAAATAAGGTATCAGCTGGAGGTGTGTAAAATGGAGGCACTGAGGGATGGAATTGTCTTCCTGTTTTCATCCGCTTTACACAAGTCTCCTGGGAGGGAGGGATCAGGGCAGGAAGCCCCGTTATCAATTGGTAGATAAAAATGACAATCTGCCCCAGAGGAGGACAAAGAGCCAATCAGTGAGGCGTGACTGCTCGTAATATCCTAGTACAAGCAAGGAAATGAGAAACCTTCCCCCGTGGAAAACAGCTGGGACTTTGAGCACATTTTGGCTAGACTTTGCTCAAGATCTCCGAGTCCACGTGTGCTGATGAAACAGACCCAAACCACTGCATGCTCTATGAGATTCTAACCCTGGTAACCATAGTATTATCCATTTATTAACCAACTGATAACTGCTGCAAATAAACAATGTCAACCAATGGCTCAGTAGGTTTGAGTGGCATCATGTAACATGAGGAGTGAATTTAAGCTTTTCTAGTGCTAATAAATTTCAATGCTGTTTTTTAAGCATTTTCCCCGTTATACAAAAAAACCTTGTATATTATGGTTCAACAATAGACCTGGAAAAACTCAAGGAAAATGTAACTGCATATAACTGAAAATACACTTGAGCATAGCAAGAAAATCCTCAAATACATAATGAGATATACAGATTTGTCAGGGAAAAGCAATTACCTGCATGGTGGTGGATTTTCCAGATGTTTCTCTAATTATGAGACTGTCCAGTCTAATAAAATTTGGAAACAGTTGTTTTCCACTCATTCCTTTTTTCCCTGGCTCTAAAACTGAACAGGACTTGTTAGTGCAACCACAGTCCAAGGCCCAAGAAATAATCTCAGTACCAGCATGGAATCGCTCCAGGAATGTATCCAAAGCCAAATTCAATTTCAGAGCCATGAATGAAGGGCAAGTAATAACATATCTACCATGAGGTGGTGAACTAAAGCAAAGAGAGCTTCCCCATTTGTCATCTCAATTACAGAGTTTAGAAAGGCCAACCGCTGTGATGAACATCACATACAGACACATCACCCTGTACCTCGTTTTCTTGTTATTGATTAGACTTCTCTCTTCCCTCATGTACTTTTCCCAATCTGTCTTTGTTCTTTCCTCGGTTTAATAAATGCAAACAATAAATCGCTCTATGTTTATAACAAAGCATTGAGAATGTTAGAGAGAATAAATGTAATAAGGCAAGGAAAGATGGATAGAAAGGTACATTGGCAGATAAACTGATGATGACAGAAGATAAAATAAAAGATGGATGGCAGTGAAAGGTGGATGGTTGAGTGAAAGAAAGCTAAAAGGATGACCCGTTGACCTGTGTGCAATTTCTTGAAAGTGACTGGTTCTGTTGTGCACTCTTGTTCGATTGAAAATCAGCACGCAGATTTTTTTTTTTGGAGGGGGGGGGGGGGCGGAGACAGAGGTAGCATAGCAGATAATGAAGGGGACAGCGCAATGTCTTTCATTTATTTCTTTCCCATCCAACAATTTGTACATACGATTGGCACTTGCCATTGGGGAAAACTACTTCTATTATTAGGGGTCCAAGCCCGAGGAAGCAGGGTAACGCAGCTGCAAAGCAGCAGCGTTTCCATGTCTCCA